CGCGGAGATGCGTCTGGGCTTCGGTTCGAACGTCTTCGTGGCGAAGCGTCTGGACTTCGATTTGGTAGTCTTCGCGGAGATGCGTCTGAGCTTCGGTTCGAACGTCTTTGTTTCGGAGAATTAGGTTCTAGATTTGAACGTCGTTGCGGAAATGCATTTGGACTTCTATCAGATATTTTTCTTCGCATATTCATTTCATCGTCTCCGATCGTTTTCCATTTTGAACTTGTTTTGTAGTCCTCTTTTGCGATGAGTTCAGCGGGTCTTTCATCAATGATACCGGCAATTTGTGGCAAATCTTCACCCAAATTGTAATTGTCTAGGTCAGCTTCAGTTGCATTGGCCAGTTGTGATAAATCAATGTCATCATCAACGATGTTTATTCTACAGATCGAGAAAAGGGTAGATTTGAAATTTCGGAAAATAAATTGTTTATCCGTAAAAATTTGGACTAATTTGGACTATATAATTATAATTTGGACTTACGTGGAATTTTTCTCCGACTTATGCTTTTTTTTCTTATTTTTCTTCGATTCACTTTTGCCACCAGACAAATACTTTTTTAGATACTCCTTTTGGTTTACTTTGTCGGTATTCATATTGGGAAATGTTGGTTACTTTCAAATAAAACAAAAGTTTGATTGAATAAACGTATACAAACAAAATTCTAAAAAGTGTTTTAGGTTAAGATGAAACGATGTGAACTGTCAACAAATGCATGCACATAGTACAAGCTATTAATCACTGGTGGCGTTGGTAACATCAATTTCTTGAGACCAGGTGAAGAAATGTCAACAACAGTTTGTTCCAATTCGCAGATATATTTAACAAACATCTTCATGGTTTTACATTTTCTGTTTATTCATTTGTCTAGGAGTAGTGTTTTCGTTTTATTTACTCATTATTTCCATTAGATTTACCATTTGTTCGTGTCATTTAGTTGTATTGAGATGCTTTACCTGTGAAAACAATGAAAACCAATGGTAATTTTGTACTTATTTCTATATTTAAAAAAGTATATTAGATTTGAATTTGTTTACGCTTGTAGAAGTTCCAGTGATACGCGTAAAAGAATTTGCAAAAGTCGAATTTCTTCCCTCCGAGCAAAATGGAAACAAAGGCATCGAAGAAAATGGAACTGAAAATTCGATATTGCCGATAAATATTGAGACCATTTCGTTATCTTCGGAAGACGAAATCCGAACTGTTCCAAACAAACCAACAAAATCCATTGCACAAACACCAAAACCCAGAGAAAAAAGACTGCCCCGTGTATCATCCGCCATCAGTAAGAATCGAACACCGAGATTACCATCAAAATACAAATATCACAAAATTGATGAATACTTTTCCGCAACGAAAAAAGATTGTAAGTAATACAATGATATTACTCGGTTTTAAGAGGGGCATAAATATTGTATCTTTGTTAGTTGCAGCTAAAATTGGATGTGCTACACCGATATCGAAACAATCAACTTCAGCCTTCTCACCGGAAAGTACCAAAGTTAATGTTGAAAAGAAACAAGAGGTAACCGATGCTAAACGTTATGCATCCAGCTTGAAACAAGTCAAGATTGTGTTGAGACGTTTATCCATCGACCAACAAGTCGAAACAAGTCGCAAACGCAAAGCGAACGATGGCCAATCCAAGTTGCCTGATTTCATTGAATATGAACCGACTGGAGACACGTATTTCACAGTCCATGAACACTCAACCTTGCCAAAACAGCCACTAACCGAATTGAAAGCGGTAGAATGCAAAGTTGAAGAAAATAATGTAAATTCATATGATGAAATGGATAATACAACCTCAAACTATCTGGACTATCGTCCGGATTATGTCTACACTGACACATCGAGCATAATCAAGGAAAATGAACAGAATTTCAAACCTCAAGAAAATGCAGTAAATTATAATTTACGCAAAAAAATGCAAAAAACCAATAAGCCAACGTCTGTTAAGGCAACCAGCAAAGTGAAGAAGGAAAAGAAGGAAAAGAAGGAACAGACGAAAATAATCAAAAAATCAGTACCAAGAAAATCGAGAAAAGTCGAGTGTCCCCACTACAAAATTGTTGAAGAGACTACATTTGCCGTGGATGCATTTCGATATGGTGATATTGAAGGTGTTGAGCACTATTTTCTCACTCATTTCCATGCAGATCACTACATTGGCTTAAAGAAAAGTTTCAATCACACACTTTACGTTTCAAACATAACGGGTTAGTCCAAATGAATGAAAGCCATGTTTAGATTTGAAGCTTAGCGTCTGTTTTACTTTTTTATTTCGAAAATAGGTCGCTTAGTAGTGGAGTTCATCAAAGTTGAAGAGCAATATATTCGATATCTGGACATCAATACACCAATATTGGTGGAAGATGTTGAGGTAACTGCCCTGGATGCGAATCAGTAAGTTATATTTCATATGCTTTCGTATTTTAAAACGCATCGATTTTTACTTATTCTACCAATGTTTGTTGCAATTAACTTTGCATAGTTGTCCAGGGGCGGTTTTGTACCTTTTCAAATTGAAAACTGGTAAATGCATTTTGCACACTGGAGATTTTCGTGCATCTCCTGATATGGAAGAGTATCCCGAATTTTGGAACAACCAAATTGACACAATTTATTTGGATACAACGTATTTGTCGTCGAAATATGAGTTTGACACACAATCGGATAGCATAAACACTATAGTTAAATACTGTCAAGAGTTCATTAAAAGCAGCACAAGTAGTTCTGGAAAGCATTTAATAATCTGTGGATCATACAAAGTTGGTAAAGAAAAGGTTTGGCTTCGAATCGCACAGGAGTTCAACTATAAAGTGTGGATTGATAACGAACGTCACAAAGCAATGCAGTGCCTTCAAAATGATGAAATTTCCGATGTACTGACTAGATATGCAAAAGATGCGTCTGTTCATGTTCTACCACTAGGGAATATATCTTACCAGGTAGTAGATTCTCCATTTCATTAATCAGGTCATTGTTCATTTACATATTTCTGTTTTCAGTTCATCGTTGAATATATGCGTCAGTTTGGGGAAGCATTCTGTAAAGTACTCGCCATACGTCCCAGCGGATGGGAGAAAGGGAAATCAAAGCCGAACTTTGCGAATAAAATATCAATTCTTGGCGTTCAATACTCAGAACATTCCAATTACAGCGAACTTGAACGATTTGTTCGATTCCTTCAGCCAAAAAAAGTGATTTCAACAGTGCCCTATGGAGGGAAAGATTTGAATAAAACACCACAAATACCGCAAGCATGGCTCAATCAAAAAGTGGAACCAAAGTCAAAAAGTTATCAGCGAAATATTATGGACTTCATGGTGAAAGAGGTAATCAAATGTGTCTGATGCTATAACTATAAAATATTTCGTAATAGTATGAAACTAACAGTTATCTTCCATATCGCCACTATAGCCAACCGTCAAATATCCCACGATCAATCAATTGAAAGTACCGCAAAAATTGGAACAATTGACTGCAGAAGAAGCTCATCAAGTGATTGATTCAATCTCCGATGACTACTTACCATAAATGAAATGTTAAACAGCGAAAAGAAACCAATAAAATCTTTCTATTTTTGTCATTGCATTTGTTTTAAATTTATTTTACTGAAGCCACACTCAAGTGTAACTCACCACACTGTTACTATACAAAATTGACTTGTGCTGCGTTGTAAACGAGCCATTATATATATAGTATACATTTCGATACGTGTCTGTCATTTTCAGAACGAATTGTCAAAGTTTCGTGAATAATAACAAATTAAACAATGAAAACTATTTAAATAATTTCAAATGCACACAATATACATTTGAATATATTGCAAATCGAACGTAGAGAGTGTAACAAAAATTTGGTTGTGACAATTTAGCGTACAGCCACTGACAAACTTCTATGTTAAAATAAAAAAATTGTGTTGTCCTGCTGAAAAAACAGCGGTACAAAAAAGATTCGCGTACATTTCAGCTCGCACCACTCAATTTCTGGGACATGTTTGATAAATAGCCAAAAACCGCCAAGTCTTCATCTAAATCTAAACACAATGGGCTTTTTAGAGGATTCAATTATAATTTTAGTATCTCAGGTACGTGAAAAATTCCCTAAAAATGGAAGAGCTCAAAAATCAACCAAAAAATCACATAAGATTTGAAATTGTTATTGTCAAATGGGTGAAATACCATTTTTTTTTGTTATTTTGCAGATTTGTTTCTTCACCGGTGGCTGGATTTTTTTTGTGAAACAATTATTTCGAGACTATGAAGTCCGACATGTATCGGTTCAGTTGATATTTTCATCAACATTTGCATTGTCTCTGACAATGTTTGAATTGATAATTTTTGAAATTATCGGCTTATTAGAATCAAGCTCTAGATATTTCCATTGGCGTTTAGAATTAACGTTATTACTGTTTATGGTAATTGCTTTGATTCCTTTTTATATAGCTTACTCCAGCATTAGTAACATATGTTTCGGTATGATCATTTCTCTTAACATAAATTTTTCTATACATAATAACTTTTTTCTCAATTTATCTGTGCCATGCTCATCAGCTGTGCTATTAAGTTTTATGTGCTCTTTTCTTCTTTAGTACCACCAAAATGGATTGTTCCATTAACATTGAGCGTCTGGATTTTGTTCTTGTATGGATTTTGGCGGATTGGTGATCCATTTCCGTTGCTAAGCGTATCACATGGGGTTTTCACAATTGAACAGGCATGACTTTAAGCTAGGCTCAAATAGCACACTATATTTCAGAAATTTAAACCACTTCGACGGTAAAATCGAATAAATAATTTCATTTAATGCAGGCAGTGTCACGAATTGGAGTTATTGGCGTAACAGTCATGGCAATTTTGTCTGGTTTTGGTGCTGTAAATTATCCGTACACGAGCATGACATATTTCATACGGCCGGTTTCACAAGCGGACGTATTAACTCTTGAAAGACGGCTATTGCTAACAATGGATATGATTTTAGCAAAAAAAAAGCGAATCGCAATCGATCGAAAGCAAAATAAAACTCATCCAACCAGACAAGGTATCTGGGGAATGCTCAGTAGCGTTACTCAGCTATCTTCAGGGACAGAAAGTAATTCATTGTTGAATTTTTCTTTTCTCCATACTTTGGATTCCGAATTTAATTGAAATTCCCCGTTGTTTCGTTGCTTCTGAACAGATATAGGACAGCTTCGTTTGGAAATTAGTGCCTTAGAGGAACTATCTCGACAGTTATTTCTTGAAGTTCATGCATTGAGAAATATGCAGGAACGGCAACGATGGGCGCGCACATTGCAAGGCAAATATTTTAACGTACTTGGACACTTTTTCAGTCTGTATTGTCTTTGGAAGATTTTCATTTGTACGATAAATATAATATTCGATCGAGTGGGCAAAAAAGATCCCGTAACGCGTGGTATAGAAATTGCTGTACATTGGTGCGGCTTGGAAATGGATATCGCATTTTGGAGTCAACATGTATCATTTTTTCTGGTGGGTTGCATAGTTGTTACATCAATACGAGGTCTTCTTCTCACTCTAACCAAGGTAACAAACTTCCATGCGAAACACCTTTTCTTCCATTATCTAATCACACAACATATTTCCATATTTATCCGCATTTTCTACAGTTCTTCTATAAAATATCATCAAGCAAATCATCGAATATAATTGTATTGGTATTGGCCCAAATAATGGGCATGTACTGTGCAGCTTCAGTTCTTCTGATGAGAATGAACATGCCACCCGAATATCGTGTCATTATCACTGAAGTACTTGGAGGCCTTCATTTTAACTTCTATCATCGCTGGTTTGATGTGATATTTCTCGTTAGCGCCTTGTCAACCATTGGAATATTATATTTGTTGCACAAACCACAGAATAATGATAATGAAACTATCTTGAGTAAATAATGAACTGGCAAAATGTACGATGACAGGATACGAAGTTTTCATCAAAATTATTAATTTAAATCGAAATCACCGAAACCTTTAAATATGAAGCGAATACTGTAATAAATCATAAGGATAATTAATGGATAAATAATATATTACACATATTATGATAATAATTATATTTTATTTGAAATGGAAAAGGATTGAGGACAAAAAACAACAACAAATCATTGAATCTTTGGAATAAAGAAAACCAACTGACAATATAGTGTGGACATGCATCAATGCAATGAATAAGACTTAAATAAAGAGAATAAGACAATTGATGGAAACCATAAACTCAATGTCTTTTTCATTTTACTACCTTCAAAATCAACTGTGGAGATAATGTTGGTGGGACGAATCTCTAACCGAAATCATTGAACAACTTTTTTCCAAGTTCTAGAAGCTAATTAGATTTAGAGTCGTTGAAGCTTTGTTTGCAGCATTCAAATAATAAACAACAATGAAAATAACAATTTGTTGGGTAAGCTGTCTAATTGATTGAAAAATGCATGTTAAAAAAATGAAATTTAATTAATTATTAAAAATATTATTTCAATTAAATTATAAAATTTGATTAGCTTGAAGAAACTTGTGGAAGTGTTTTTTTAATAAAGTCAGATGGCGCACAAAAATCTATTATTTTTTGAAAAATTGATCATTTCTTCATAAGAAAAACTGTACATCGTACATTATAGATCATCGTCAATACCAAACATCACATTTGTGCCAATAAATTTGGATTTATCTATGAAAATCATGTGACACATAACATATTTACAAGTAAGGAAGAATACTATAACGGAAATACTGGAATTTGTTTTTCAAAATGATGAGCTATTATACAGAAGAGCGCCATCTAACATGCAAATCAATAATGATGCATGATTACGTTTACGTATATGAACGGCTGTAGAATCGATCGCTACGGCCATTACGAAATCAAATTGAAGAATAAGAAGAAAAAAATATAACAGAGAGACCTACAAACGAAACGGTGAAGAAGTAGGGAAAAACGTAATTCGACTGTCTATACTTGTCCTCTTCTTTTTGTTCATCATATTTCTATTCGCGTGCGTTGTGTCAGAATTGATACTATAAAGGCTATATAGTTAATTATCAGAAATTGATCACTTTGTAAGTAAAAAAAAATAAATAAATGAATAAAATTTCAAAAATATGATGTGTAAGATACTAGTAGCGTTGCATCCGTTTGTTGCTGTCTAGCTACCAGCATTATTAGATACTATCCAAAGCAAAATCAATGTGTTGAAAGGCCATCGGTGAAAACAAATAACAATTGAAAATGACCACGAATTAAATAACTCAGCTTCAAATAGTGAGTAAACTCGAAAACGTTTGGATCACAGAAATATAAAGTGTGTTTTCAGTTAATTAGGTGAAACGTATGTAAATTAATGTAGCTCAATCTGCTATGCAGCAATATACAAGGAAGTAACATGTGTAAAATCGCATACATACAACAATATATATTGAATATACATAATTTTTTTTCTTCAAAGCGAATTCGCAATTCTGCCCAAATGATAGAAGAACAGAAGATGCAGCATATTTGGGAATGCGGGGCAAAGTTTTGAATATACTTGAATTGGTGAATGTGTTGCTTGTTGTCGCGAAACACACACACACTCTGTGTGAATATACAAGCAAAATGTATAAGATAGTTAAATAAAGCATTCGTTTGTTTTTTTTCAGTGACATTTTCGTCTTAAAACATCATATCGATTAACACTGCCACATTTTCCATGCTTCATTTTTCTAGTGATGATTACAGCAAACAGTAATAAGAAAAAAATATATCATATGCATGGATGATCAAAATAAAATAGTTTGTGTTATGTGCGTCTTTGATCCATAGACTGTTCAAAGCCATTGTGTGTGTGTGTGTGTGTGTGTGCGTTTTGAGTGACGAATCTGTCACACACTTATACAACTTGATTTGTTTGTCATCGTTTCTTCACTCACTTGTTCGATGTTTTTAGAATTCCATTTTTCTTTCTAATTTCGGGCGAATTCGTAGAGGGTTCTGTGCTACCATTTTATACATTCAATATAAATATATAATTTAATACTTTGACTTATTTGTTGTAATGTTACAAAAGAGCATTTGTGAATTTTAAGTGCCATCTTCGTATGTGTGTGTACAATTCGAAGGTAAATGCAACGAATATATTTGATATGACGGAATGTCTTTCTCATTGTTTCGGATACCTACAAACGGTTTCGATTGATATTTATTATCTATGCATTTTCCGTTGAACCATGATGGAGCATACACATTGAACATACACAATTTTTTTACACCGCATTCTAGTGTATATGCGTGTATTTGTATGTGTATGGGAATAGAGTTTTCGGAACATGCATCAAAAGATTACTCATCGAAATCGTATTATTTTTTATGCTGCGGCTTCCCTTCTTTGCGTACAGTTTTGCACATGTTTTAAATAAATCCAAACTATGACAAGGAATCGAACGAAAATTAATCGAGATTATGTCAAATGTTTTTCACCATACACACAAAAATACAATTATTGAATTGTACGTGAGAATTAAAGTTGGAATTTTTTTTCCCAATAAGTAAAAACAAGTGCCAGAGCCGGTAGCTTCCTTAGTATTGTATAGCTAGTGTCAAATAATGTTAAATTTATTTAACGTTTTTCTTCGGAACATTTCGACCTAAAAATCATTCAAAACTAATGCCAAAATCCATTTGTATCGATATACATCCCTCATCCCTTGATTTTTTTATTGCCGTTGGGTTGGACGAAATTGAACGCACAACTTTTTTTTGCACATGCGTAAAACTGTACACCGTATGTTGATTTAAAAAAAATTCTTAGATGATATACATTCACTGAAAATACAAATGGTCAAACTAGAAATAATAACAGCTGGATGTGCATTTGGTTCTGCGTTCGGTCTGAATTCATTGTTAATTGCGCGAATATTGAAACTTGAAGTACAATATATTTATCAAATGCTCGCTTATTTTCCATTCAATGTGCATCATTTTAATCACATAAGTGGGCATTTAGTCTGAAGATTTAAATTATTAAATTAGCAGGACGCGGTTGACCGGTGAATAATTATGAAATCAAATTAAGTAGTATCAAAAGTTCGATCTATTGATGAGTTACAATAGGCTGTGAATTCAGTCGACTATACATTTTGGTAAAAAAAAACTTAATTTTCTGCTTAAAATTTAGTGAAATAACATTCAGATTATTCGGACTATGTTTTCATTTATTGTGAAAAAAAAGAAAAATTCTAGTTCATATGTATCATAAAAGTGGTTTGAAAACGTGTATACAATGTATAACATATGTATGTAATTAGGTATTGATTTCCATTGACTCATACATTTTTTCTATAGAAAAGCTAACTTTTTCATTCTTTCATTCGAGAGATTGAATTATGACATTTGCAGAGTACCCAAGTGGACGCAACGAAAAACGGGTAGTTATAGAAGTTTCAATCAGTATTTTCTACGATTCTTCTATTGACATACCACAAATTTGATAGAGTTTGTTTTATCAAAATACTATTTTGTTTTGTTTGTTTAAAAAAAATTTCTCAAGCTAATTTGATATTCTCTTTGAAATATTTGGAAAATCTCTTAGAAATGTGGGTGAGACATAACAGTATGTTCGAATGTAGACAATATTTTTGTTTTTGTGAATGTTGACAATGAAATTGTTCAAGGCCAAATATTTTTGCAATGCACATCTACGCTTCCGTCTATGTATATAGTATGGATTCATACAATTTTTACAGATTTTTCTTCTTCTTCTGTAACGCAATACATGCGATTGATTATAGACATGGCGTTTTATTGATATCTCGATCTACTCTACTATACCAAACTGAAGCAGAACCATTTGTTTATTTACACCGCTGGCTGAATTCTATACAGTTTTACAGGAAAATTTAATCCGATTGGATTCACATAAAAACATGATGTTTTCCCATTCATTCTGAGTTAGTTTAGTAGAATTTACATTGGGTAAACCTCAAAATAAATCACGGTAAAATAATACCATTCTGATGGAGGGGTGGAGGAACTCGATTATTGAAAATCAGATTGGGGATGGGTGGGTGGTAAAATTACATTGATAAAGTCTTCAATAAAGAAGTGAAGACCTAAAAAATTCAGCACATAAGTGTTGTAAAACAACAACGTAAAGTTAATCAGAGAAAAAAACTCAAGAAATTTACACTTTAATTTGCAGGTCCCGCACCGTGATTTCGGGAAAATTGTTGTAACGACAAAAACAACACTCAACACATCCAATTAAATCTAGCTAAATTTGATCGAGGTATTTAGATACGAAAGTTGCACTAGGTTTTTTCTGCTCGAAAGTTTATGCAAAAAACATGAAAATGGTATTGTCACAACGACAACGCGAAGAACTGTAAGTGTTTCTTTCTTGCTTTGTATATCACTTGAAAATCAATAAACAGCCATTAATTGACCAATAATTGTTAAACTGCTTTATAGAAATAAAGCGATAGCTGACTATTTAAGTGCAAATAATTACGTCGATGCACTGGAGTCGTTTCGTAAAGAGGCTGATTTGGATGCTACTGAATCGGTAGAAATAAAATACAGTGGCCTGTTAGAGAAAAAATGGACATCTGTAATTCGCTTGCAAAAGAAAGTAATGGAGCTCGAGGCAAAATTGTCTGAGGCTCAAAAGGAAGCATCTGAAGGTGGTCCGATTAAGGCGAAGCGTAGCCCTGGCGAATGGATACCACGACCGCCGGAAAAATTTACACTGAATGGACATAGAGCTACAATAACTAGAGTGAGTATAGTCATTCTGTAGACACTATATATAGCATATCTGTAACGAATTGTAAGCTATATTAATCGTTTCAACTGTTTTAGGTTATATTTCATCCAGTGTTCAGCTTGTTGATAAGCTCATCTGAAGATGCAGTGATCAAAGTGTGGGATTTTGAAACCGGTGAATACGAACGAACCCTCAAAGGTCACACGGACCCTGTAAATGACATCGCTTTCGATGTACAAGGAAAAGTACTAGGTAAAGCATTGAAGTGCATTCAAATGTGTCCATTTAGTAGTCGTTTCTGAACTTCATTTATGATTGATATTTTTGCTTCTATTTTTGTTATTCGATAGCCTCTTGCAGTGCAGACATGTCGATAAAACTATGGGATTTCACGCAAACATTTGAGTGCTTCAAGACAATGCTCGGCCATGATCACAATGTTTCATCCGTTGCATTCGTACCGGCTGGTGATTTTGTGCTATCTGCATCTCGCGACAAAACGATTAAAATGTGGGAAGTTGCTACCGGGTAGGTTTTTTCTTCTTCCGCCATTTACTTCACTTGAAATTATAAAAACTTCAAAGAAAATTGGTTAAAAATTGGCGTTCCTAACTCCCAATTGTTACCTATACAGATACTGTGTAAAGTCATATGTTGGACATCGTGAATGGGTTCGGATGGTTCGAGTTCATCCAGATGGAGCAATATTCGCATCTTGTTCGAATGATCATTCAATTCGTGTATGGAACATAAATACGAAAGAGTGCAAGGTAATATTCATACAATATTCCATTCGTTTGCGATGAAATAAACTATTGAAACGTCTTTATCATTTAGGTTGAGCTAAGAGACCACGACCATACTGTTGAATGCATTGCTTGGGCAGGTGAAAATGCCTCACAGGCCATCAACGAAGCAGCCGGCACTGATAATAAAACAGGCTCACATCATGGACCATTCTTGGCATCTGGTTCACGTGATAAAAGCATTAGAGTAGGTTTTATGATCAATTTTATGTGAATGAGTGTGTTTTTACTAACTATTATTGAAAACTCTGAACACAGGTTTGGGATATTAGCATTGGCGTATGTCTATTTGTATTAAATGGCCACGACAATTGGGTAAAAGGAATCGTCTTTCATCCTGGCGGAAAATATATAATATCAGCTAGCGACGATCGAACCATACGCTGCTGGGATATACGGAACAAGCGATGCCTGAAAACAATCAATGCTCATCAACACTTTTGCACATCTGTTGGTAAGTAGCTTGTTGACAGCCACTATACATCCGATTTCACCGTTATTTGATTGTTGCTAAATTTCGTTGCTCTCATTTTAGATTTTCACCAAAATCTTCCTTATGTGATCTCAGGCAGTGTCGACCTAACTGTAAAAGTGTTTGAATGCCGCTAATTTATAGTTTTCATTAACAAACTTTTTTTTAAAAAGAAAATTACGGAAAGAAGATATAAATTATTCTATTTTTAAAGTATAATTTTAATTAAAATTTATGTATTTAATAACTTTAACTGAAAGTCGGAGTATAGCAGAATAATGATATGGAAAAAGTGCTCCCTCAAACTACATTTGAAATTGAACCAAAAAAAAAAAACAGATTCGAATATGTTTTAATCAAACTCCTAAATGACATTTGAACACCTCAAATTGAAATAAAACTATAAAATAACATAGGAAACCAACACAATTACTGTCAAAGTTAGGCAATCACTTATGCTCCATCTCTGTTGCTCTCCATTTATAGTTAATTTTGTGTTGATATATCTGATTATCTGATAATAAAATGAGAGATTCCACTTAAAATTATTAGGTTCAATTTAAAAACAAAACAAAAATCTCCTCGACATTCATTGATAAATCAATGTGAATTCCACACCTTCACATATAAAAAACAAATACAAATTTAAGATTATTTGCTGCGCGATTGTTGTTTCAGCTTTGTTTTTCTTCACAAAAATCACCAGCCGATAGTCAATAAGCAAAATTATGCATTCAATTTTGTCGCCAAATCCAAAAACCAAACTAGCTAGTGCAAAGCTTCTAATCCAAGTTCTGCCGTATTCGGCAGTTTTTTTTTACGAAACCCGTACTGTGCATTATTCATATGCATCATATAATACGTTTGAAGCAAATATCTATGTAAAAAAAGAAATAAATTTCCTGAATATAAACATATTGAGCACTTTTTCTTTTCCAATTATTTTGAATACAGTTTTTTTTACATTGAACAAACAATGTTAAACGATAATAGAGATGTAAAATCTCAAAGCGCAGACCAATTTAAAACAATCTACCATTCAAACGCAACGGTTAGCATTAGAAGTTTTAGAACTTTTTTGAGATTTTCGTGGCTTACTATTTGTAAATCACTATGGCAGAAGAATGATGAAAAACAGTGACTGTTCAGTCAAATTATCGTCAATGCGAACAAAATATAGTAAAAATTCAATGCAGAAGTATTAAGGAAAGGATGGTTATTGCTGATTTATTAGATAAGTGAAAAAAATATGCTTAGCTTGAAATAAAAATAAATGCCAAATAATTTGCAGCCGATTGAAATGGATTTTATTGTTTGAAAAAACCTTTTTTCAGAATCAACTTATGTCGTTCTATTTCTGAATGCTAATAAAAACGTGTCTAGGTTACTTAGCCTGGTAAGCTTCCATATGGCAAACGGATGACCTGCTGAACCTTTCCAGAGACCATAATAGCAAGCATAAAAACTAATCATACTTGTAGTAACGCATTCGCAAAATTGTGTACAGAAAAGTTCACTTAGCTTTTGACTTCCTCTAGAACTACATATCTCGAAGATAGCAATGCGATACCTTGTCACTTTAGTTACACCCACGTTGCTGAAGTTTTTTAAACGACATGGTGGATTTCGAAGCGTTTTTCACAAACCACATCCACTTTCAGGGTCCAAAGGAGAATACGGTGGCTGGAACTTTTCTTGATGACATAAAAAAATTGTCTTTAAAAACTAACTAGTCGTCGAATTGAAGCATACAGGTGCATCAACCGGTTTTTTTCAATTGTGAAAAATATGTTTGTTTTCTATCCTATGTAGATCCATATGCTGCAAGAAGATCGAGTGATCCTTCGCAATGGATTTTATATATAATAATCAGTTTCTTATATTTATTAGAAATTGAAACAAAAATGATTTAGTGTAAATTGGATTTATTGCTCTACATCCGTTTTAGTTCTGCCAATACTTGTTTTATGCGCACTCTTGCTATTTGTTGGTTTTTCACTTTCAAATAACGTAATTCATTGGCTACGTATTGTCCAAATAAGAGGTTACAATCGTCCAGCGGTTGGATGTCTAGCGATACAGATTGATTTAACTGCGGATATGAGTCTATATGTGTTGGCGATTGGTCAGTAAAAGCTGAGTTCATCTCCAAGTGTTTACAATAGTTTGAATTTCGTTTTGGAATTTGCTAATTTTTTTTAGAGAAAATAAAGATGAAATTTTTCAATGCCATTCAATTACTTTGAATTTTTAACTGCCCAATACTCACATGCCTCGCATTTGTTTCCGAGAATCCCATGATTTCTTTCATTATATCAAAGAATATCCAATTGCTGACACATTTATTATTTTCACCCATAGTAGTTACTTTTCTTCGGTTAAAGTTTCTGATCTCACCATTGAATTGGCATCTCAAGTTATGAATTTTCCGATTTATTTCCGAGCCAGTGGTGTCAAATTTATCGGCTAGTACAGAGATTGCCTCTGCTCTCTTCGATTTTAGGCCATAATCTCGATTCGATGGGTCCCACAATACTCGAAGCTCACGGTAAAAACTCAATAAATCGAAAGTCTCTTCCTAATAACATAGTTAGTGCATAGTTTATATATTTTGAATGTTCCATTTGATCAGATTTTGGATGTCCAATGAACACTTACCAGTGTCCACTTACGTATTTCAGTGCTCATTTTGCGTTGAATATTATGATTATATCCCGCATTATCCCTTTCTCAAAATCAATTTGTACATAAAATTTCGAAATTTATTCCCACTTCTTGGATAATTGTAAACAATTTTTGTATGTATATTAATACTGCCGTGAACAGATTCTACAGAAGAAGTTATACTTTTATTATTATTATTACTTATGCACATATGTATGCATACATATATACGTTTAGAAAGTTGAATGGATTGAATGTATTCATTCTACGATGACAGTTTCTTTGACACTTACGTGTGTGCATTACATTCATTGCATTTTTCATAAAACCAAATGAGTATATTTTAAACGTTTCAAACACTTATTTGGTAGCTATTTGTTTAGCTAAATTGGGTAAGTTTTCTTTTTTTTAGGCATCAAAATATGAATAAATATGTTGGAAATGTATAAATCGTGTGTTTTCAGTAGTTTACCAATGTTGTTATCAAAATATGTGAATCTTCAAAAAAGTTTTCAAGTCGTGTAAGCAGCTCGTATATAAACATTACAATCAAACGATTTTCTAAATGAAATTTTGGTATTAAACATTGAACTGGTTCAAATAGTGAAATTACAAATGGAAATGATAACCAGTAGAAACAGCATAAGGTTGTTGATAAGTTTACTTTTTAGAAAGTTTTTTCTTTCACCGAATGACATCACCATTGAAAATTCATAGTTTTCATAATAATAGTTATAATAATAATAATAAACGAACGTCATTGGTTTATGAAAATTCCTAGGAAAATTCCTGAGATCCTGTGAAAATGAAATTAAAATGAATGAAATTTACATATATCTCAAGTGTGCTTCTTTCTAAAGATTAATTACAAAGTAAAATAATATAGCGAGATTGACGATAATAATTAGTACAAATTAGTACCGCCCAATATTAATTGATGAATTAATTACCATTAAGCAGGTCGGTCTAGATAGAGCTCAGAAATAGAGAAGATTAAAAACGTGAATTTGTAAAAATGTCTTACAATCCGAATGCACCATACACTCCCAATTTCCCGGCTGCAGGTGGGTATCCGCCGCCTAAGCAGGATAATCAAGGATATGCTCCACCACCTGGAATGGATCAGGGTTATGCACCACCACCTGGAATGGTAAAAAATGTGTTTCTTTTAAATTATATTATTGCTAGTTAATAGTTGATTTGTTCCATTACGCCCAATATATTTGTACTTGTAGGGTTTTCAACCAACGCCACAGCCGCATTCATATCATCCCCAGCCCCAGCCCCAGCCCCAGCCCCAACCTCAACCGCAACCGCATCAATTTCCACCAAATCCGCACCAATTTCCAACTAATCCGCACCAATATCAACCGGTTCCGACAGGACCCATCGTTACACAACCGTTGGCCGATTCTGGTAAGTAGTTAAGGTGAAAATACAGTGGGAATATCTCAAGTCGTTAGGTGAATAAATTGATTATGGTTATGAATTGCTTGATCGATTCATTTGAAATGAAAAGAATGACAAAAACATCATCGCTTAGCCACTAAACCGACAAAAAGTGGTATTTTTGTTCTCCGGTTGTGGTATGGAGCAATTGAGCACAAATTTAAAAGATAATGAGTTTGTTTTTAAAAAATCGTGGTACCAAGCTGATCAACGCACCAAAAATGGCAATGCTCTGGTTCCTTGTTTAATATATGTGGCCCTATTTTATAATCAACATATTCGGTAGAGGTTCATCTCGTTGTTGTTATAAATATTGCAAAATGATCATTGGAGTACTTATCAAGCGTTTTCATGAACATGTACATTCATATATGTGATTTTATGTTTTTGATAAGTTGTTTTACTAAAAAAAAAACAAACGGAAATAATAACGTGTTTGTAAACTCAATAATGATTGTAAACAACAACGAAGAATGATAGCATTTGGTTGTTTTCTTTCGGATTGAAATGCGTTCGAAGATGCAAGGAACGATTCAATAAGGTCAATTTGTCACGTTCATGTTATTTACGTGCAAGACTTCTCAGTTTAATTTATAAATATGTATGTAAAACAATGATTGAAAACAATTGACGCTACCTAGAGAAATATTTTTAAAGACTGAAATAATGAAGAAGAAGTTAAATTCATTCTTGAAATATTCTCTGTCGTGGCATCTTCAACAATGGTTGTGTATATTTTAGATAAGCAGATCCAATTAAGAGTAATCAGTAGACACAGAAATGGTTCATTGGAAATGTCCAAAATCCTCTGTGTTGTACATCACAAGGAGCGCTGAAAAGTCATTTGTATGATTACGATTGAAAAACATTGGTCGCATTATTTATTCTTTTGGTTGATTGTTGTTTTTGCGCTTGCATTCGATTTGCGATAAATAAATAATCAGTTGAACTGTATACAAGCGTATATATTCGACGAACAAAACCATTCCAAGATGCACATTAAATGAAAATGTATTCAATCTGTCTTCGTGATAATTCATGATCACCATGATGTAGGTACATAAAACATCTTAAGTTCAATTTGTAGCAACATTCGATTAAATTCAATGGGCCAGTTAAGTTACAGTACAGAAACAATTCACAGAGATTGAATGTTTTGAGTCGTGCAATATTTGTTGATAGAATATATTCGAGGTGATTGTGAAGTGTTGTGTTTTTAAAAAAGCAACAAAAAATGACCACATACGGAACTGATGAAATTTTCAACCATCAAAGCAATTCTGAATTCAGTAGTGGCTGCTTTAAGCAAAACTATTCCTTGAATTTGTATACGAGTCATTTAGCGGCGTTACACTTGCTTTTGTCGATGCTAATTTTCGTTACTGGTGTTTACTTAGAGTTGCAATGGCTAACTGAGGAAAGTTGTCGAACATACTATGTTATGGTCTACATTCGATGTGCGTTTTGGATAGCTACACTCGTGATAGATATCTTGGTCACACGCCGGCACAACGATTTACGCCGACAAGGATATCATGATTTTTATCGTAAAAAAATTTTAACGTATAAAAATGCGCCATTGTGTATTGTAACACTGTGGAATATGATCATATTCCTGGTGCAAACGATTATGGTGGAAGCCTATGATGGAACACAGTTTTCGTTACACTGTCAAAAAGGTGTACAGTGCATTTTTTGTGGCTTAGAAACGATACTTCTGATGATTGTCCATGGAACATACATAATGAAAGTGTACCATTTCAACAGTATACATTCACTACCAGACGCGTTGCGTGACATTGAACAACCATTTATCGGTTCCTTAGGCATAACTATTGAGAATGTCAAAGTAGCCGATCTTCTTGAAAAGCAAGCCGATTTAATTTATTACCTCAAAGAGCAAAACTTCAACCTGAAGAGAAAACTGCTCCAGCTTAGTCAGCGATCGAATGAATTTGGCAGCTATCAAAAGATATAACACCAACAATTCCGAACGCAAACGATGGTTTGCAATGCGAGTCGTTTGAAAAAAAAATTTATAACACAATCTATTAAAATGAATCCCAGTATACTTTTACGAAACAAAAAATGTCACGAAAATGACCATCATTTTAGTTAGAAAATAAATCTTAGCAAAGTATGTCAACTAATAAAAGAAACTACTTGAATTTCAGACAAATTGAGCGTTTGTTTAATGTAATTTTTATTATGCGGACAAATGTAGAGAAAACGCACACAATATGATTGAAATGATGAAATGTTTCACTTATCTTTACATTTTCTGATTCTCCTCGTAATCAAAGTGATAACGCAAAAATAAACAAAAGAAATAGCTCTTTTGCTGTTGTTGACAGTTGTGTATTGAAAACATCTCTAATATGTTTTATATCTGTATAAAAACGGTGAAATTTTCAACAACTTAAAAACAAATTGTATTTCATCTGTGCACCGATACATCGTAGCCAAATCAAACATTCAATTTCACCAAAAGTAACCTCAAGTCTCAAAGTAGAATATATTAAAGGCGATCCGTGACGATTGACATTGCAATGAAAACCATGCAAATTTGCAAAGATGTCGAATTTGGGAAATAATTCTGTTGGTCCAATTGCCACGGCCATATTTACAATCAAAATGCATAATTTTAAAACTGCAAGTCTCAGAAATCTTGTGAAATGCATTCGTAAAAAACTTAAATTGAACAAATCACCAAAAAACAAGGGATATGGGCAATTTTTCAGTGATGAAGAAAAGAGGTATTGCACATTTGAATAGTATTTTACACAAAAATATAATATTTTGGTCCTTTTCCATTGGAATATGAGCCTAACTACTTGCACGATTTTGTAAACACTGTGCCTTACTTCTGCATGTACAATGTACATGCACACGGTGTGCTGGAACTGTGCATATAGTGGTCTGGAAATTATGTTTTTGAATTCATTATTGAAAATCTTTCATTGAGATCAAATACTATTTCACACTGATAAATATGTTTCATTTGATACTAGGTGGCTGGATGAATATTCCGCTCGGCGCCATTCCGAACTGTCCCCCAGGATTGGAATATCTTACTACTATTGATCAACTTTTAGTCAAGCAAAAAGTTGAACTTCTTGAGGCATTTACCGGTTTCGAAACGAATAACAAGTTCACAATAAAAAACAGTTTAGGTCAAAAGGTGTACTGGGCTGTCGAGGAAAATGATTGGCATGTTTTTTCAACCCACTATATCTACTTATTAGTCGAAATCTATAATATTCACTAATCTTACTTCCTTTTTTCAACAAATTTCTCTTATAGTTGCACCCGCAACTGCTGCGGTCCTGCTCGGCCATTCGACATGAAAATCATGGATATTTACAAAAATCAAGTCATTCATTTGAATCGTCCGTTAGCATGCTCCAGCTGCTGGTTCCCCTGTTGTTTGCAAACGATGGAGGTATCAGCACCGCCCGGAAATGTGATCGGGCGCATTGAACAGGAATGGTCGCTATGTTTTCCATGCTTTGCTATTAAAAATCAGACTGGAGAGACAGTTCTTCGGATAGAAGGTCCATTGTGTACATTCAGTTTGTGCGGAGATGTTGAATTCAAGGTTTTTATCTCCTTACTATTCATATTTTTAATCCATTGGAATTGTTCAGATAAGAAAATCCAAAAATAAATACTTTAACCCGCTTATGACAGTGTATCAAACAATCCTAGAACAGTCGTGAATATTTTTCTTTTTTACATTGTAGATCGTTACGATGAATGGTGATGAAGTTGGTAAAATTTCGAAGCAATGGTCTGGTATAGCACGGTAAGTAATAGGACTAAACATTTAGCGTACGAAAAACCTAATTAAATTTCAATTTTTTTCATAGTGAAATGTTCACGGATGCTGATTTCTTTGGAATCAATTTCCCGATGGATTTGGACGTTCGGATGAAAGCAGTTATGCTTGGAGCATGCTTTTTGATTGTAAGCAATTCGAACAGGATTTCAACAGATCTGAAATTATTAGCAAATATTCATTATTTTCTTTCATCTTCTTAGGATGCAATGTTCTTTGAAAAGGCAGGAAACCAAGAAAATGATCGTCCAGGAATGTTTTAAATGTCGGATTCATGAAAAACCATTGATTGAACAGAAAATGCCATTCATTTTTCATTCGCGAAATGTTCTGAAAACATCTTGAGCGAACAAATTTTTAAACATACTCTCTTTTTACAAAACAAATCTAAAACATGAGATGGTAGATGAATTCAGTTCTACCAATCAGCCGAGTTCGACCGATGAAAATAATCCATTACGACCCAATCTATTATTGAATTGAACAATTTAAATGCATTTCATTGTCGAATAGTTTGGAATATTTTACCAATTTTTCAAATCAAAAACCGCAACATCTAGCTCTGCCTTAGTTGCTATCATTGAAGAATTCGCGAACAACACCTGCTTATCTTCACATTTTGAACAATTGTAGAGCGCCATCCATAATTGACGGCAAAATCATCTGTAAATAGCCGTAAGTGATTTCGACATATTGTGAAATGTTGCGAAATCACACCAATTAGTACTGAATTTTGCCGTCATTTATGGACGGCGCTCTACAATTTCACACTTCGTATTTTGTATGTATTCAATACAAGATTATATGCGTGTGGCGAACAAGCAGCGAATTCAGAAAAAACCCTACAATATTACTGTCGATTCCGATCAATTCGGCTGACAGAAAGACCGCAATGCTTTTCTCACTACTTTCTTCATTTTTTTTCTCTTTATATACAAATGCCCAAGAAAAGAGACTTCGACGCTGCCAAAGAGGTTCTAAATGATTATTAAAACACCCTAGTATGTCCTCGCAATGACAACCAAATATGATTCAAATACTAACGCAGCAGATCTAAATATTAGCTTTTGATATAATGAATGAATAATGTATTTTTTCACATATATATTTTTTCAAATGACCAAACCGAATATACAATCGGTTTCAACCATTTACAAAACGCGTACAATATTTCAACTTAAAAAAGTTTTCCTCATAAACTCTAATCGAATATATTCATTGATAAAACTATATATATATAATACATTTAAATTATAATCTGCAGTTTTAAACGCCCTCAAAATGCTATTGTAATTTATACAATATTTTTGAAGTAGCTAGTGTCACACATTTTGAACGTATTGCAGAATAATTTTGTAAATTTTCACAACAAATAAATATGGAAAAATATTTCAAAAACCTGCAGAATATATGGATGTTAACACAATTTTTTGAAGATGCTTTCAGATTGAAAACTATCGAAATTCAAGTCCCACATTCACAGCAGCCAAAAGCCAATTTTTATTGTAATTTTTTCGTAATTTCATTCAGTTGGCTTCAATTTTATATGCGTCACAGAAATATCTGTTTCACAAATGAATGAACGTTCTTCTTTCACTGTATGTACATATTGTCTATTTCAACAGGGAAGTCGAAGAAACTAGCAAATAGGTGTTAGCACTTAGTAGAACCCTTAGTACTTAGCACTTAGCCAAAACATAGAAAACTTAGGCCCTGCCCGGTGACATTTTATACAAAACCAACCCAACCCAAAAAAAAAAGTTCTACGCACCCTACATAAAAAATGTCTGAGTGCTAAGTGCTTAGTGCTATGTACTATGTACCCAAAAAAAATTCCAATTGCTAAGTGGACTCAATCCACTACATTTTAACTGATATTATTGCAAACAAGGAAATTTTTGTCTATTCATTCATTTTTACTTAGGATTCGCATTTTTTCAAGTAAAGATAATTTTTCCTATTAAAATAAAGACAAACATTAAATAATTTTTCATTGTTCTTTTCTACTTCATTTAAACAGTGAAGAAAGTATACAAATTTATTTATACAGCACAATTGCAAAAGAAGCATCTCTCACAAAACGTAACAGTGAAAAAAACTTCTATTTTGAAAGATATCTTCATTTTCATTGATTTTTCAAATACATCCAGAAAACGCAACTTTTTACTAATTGCAACTGGCTCCGTTGCTTATGTATATGTATATCTTAGAGGTTACCTTCAATGGCGAATATATTTCATTGTTTTTTATATAAAAAATATTTCCGACACTTCTAGATTTATATCTAATTTAAAGAGAAAAAAAACGTTTGCATTACAATTTTTGAAATATTTGTAAGGAATTAAACGGTGATCGGCATTCCAAATTCGATGTCTCGTTGCTATTATACATTCAGAGATTAGTATACGCCACCGCAAGCCTTGCACAATGTTAACGACGTATGACCAAAATGAATTTATGTAAATTCGATCACCGATCACGGTATTTAAACAGTAATTGAAATGGTTATTATTAAATCTATTGAACGAATCAAGTTTTTTTTTGTTTTTTTAAGCTATTATTGTTTTTGAAATAAAAGTCTTAAGTTTTTGCACAATTATTCAATCAACGGATTGTATTTATTTAAAAAATTTCTCAAAAAAATTTCACGAGCACCAGGTAAATTCATGTGGATCGAATTCCATTCTCGATAGCATATTTGAACAACGTCATATCCCAATATACTCAGATGTCGTGCTTGAAGACGATTAAATCCGCGCAGTGCTTTTGTGTCATTCAAACGAAACGAATGGTTCAACAATGGTATAATGGCCACTCTAGAATTAAAAAAATCAGATATTAATTAATTTCCATTTAAATCGATTTTTTATTCATCGACTAATCCTCACTTATTCAGTGATTGGCTTCCTTCATCGAATGGTGGATAAACCAGTTGTTTATGTGAGTTAAAATATATGACGAAGGGTATCTGGGGAAGAATTCATAGAATTACTACTTGTTTTCTTTTAAAAATGAGATATAATGAAAAATTCTATCAAATTACACGATATCCGTATGGGGTAAGATGATTTGTTCTAATCATATTTTGGTCACCACCAACGTATGACAGCAACATTTTATATATATCGTTGAAGTAGGGGCTGGATTGGCCATTTTTTTCTATCAGTGAAAAATGTATTTTAACTTAAATTTATTAATTAATTTTCCAATAAAAGTATATTTATAATCTTGACTCACCAGCTGCTGCTAGTTGTGCAAAATTTTGTTGGAACCACGGCACTCCAGCCTGCAATAATGAAATAATTATCATTTATATTATACAAATTATACAAATCAATTCGATCAATCACCTCCGGATAGTCCAGACACACCGCCCTATTTAGCTGCATCACAATATTTAAAAGGTTCTTTGGATAACTTCTCTGGAAATTTATGACAAATTTAACTATTAATTATTTCTCCTCAATTTCGCAACGGTCGTTATTTACCGCATCATACATCAGAGCCAACTCCTTTTCTAACCGAGTAACGAAATCTATATTGAACACTCGACTTATTAAATCTAATGTTAGAACCTGATGAAAAATTCAAATGAATTTTATTTATTTTTCGTCGTTTGTGTAATTTCTTGTTTCTGTGTTTCCAAAATCATACCTGATAAAAGCTGAATGCTAAACATGCTTGAACGACTAACCAAGCCGGCATCAGTTCGAAGTCACGGTTTATGATTCGAGTAAAATTATCAAAATCAAACAGTTCGGCATTCAGATATTGGCTTTTCGGCGTCCCAGTTTTGTCTTCATTCAAAATCGGTTGAGAATTCACGTACGGTTCATAGCCCATTGAAAATAAATAAAACAATAAATAGGCTACAGTATCGCCACCCACAATATCCCGATGTTCATTAACAAATTTCAGCATGTGCTCGCATAGCCTCGGTACGACGAACACTATTTTATTAAGACTACTCGTTACGATCTGGATCGTGCGGGCTGTGATGATAACATCATCTGAGGAACAAATCTCTTCAAGTTTTCTAATTAATTTGTCAAGAGTGTGGGTCTTTTTTAGCACTGAAAAGAAAAATCAATAAGTATTTCAACTCTCAAAAGCATAAAGCTCGATAATCGTACCCTTTTGATTGGCATACGCTCTTATGAGTAAGCAAATCGAATCAATTTGAATCGTTCTTCGTCCATCAATCATTCGTTCTATGCAAGCATCAACAACGTTTTCCAAACGTCCGATACGATCAATAACTTTGGCTGCCATCCTTCGATTTACACTAAAAAAGAGCGTATTACCTCATTCATATCAATATGTTTATTCTCCTATATTTCCGAAATCATCATACCTCTTTGGGATTCCATTACGATGAAAAGTTTCTATTCCGATGGAAATGTCGATAATTTCGTTGGCCGTGAACTGGGGCGCCATTTCTTCAATTTTCTTCACAAAATACTCGGGAAGCGTAATTTGATCAAATATTGGGTCATTGGCATATCCGATTATAAACGTGGCCATATTGGCTATGCGATGCGGCAACCATGCCGAAATTCCATATTTAACTTCGATCAACACTAATTCTTTCAACAATGATTCAAATTTCTGGCACCGGTATCTGCTAGCCAGCCCCTTTTGTAACAAACAATATCGATACGAAAGAGTTGACAATGTGAAATCTATGTCTAACGCTTGTGTGCTTATGTTGGCCAAATCTTCGGTCATTTTTTCCCAATATTTTTTGTAGATATCCTTGACACTGATATATCGTTTATGTTTCAGAATGGCAAACAGTTGATCATTTTTTATTGTGTTTTCGGAACCTGAATTGGCCAATATTGTCAGCATATCTCGAGAAACTGATTCCAAGTGATCGGGCAAATACTTGGATAAGCGACAGTAGATTAGATCAAGATCAGTAGACTTGTCCGTTCGTGATTCGGCCGCTTTTACAATTTCCGGTATGATTGATGCAGGCTCGTTTATTACATCTCGCGTCTAAAAGTTCGCATAGAGAAATATTATTTGGAAAAATTCTAAAAATATACCTACATTGAAAAATGCACTAGTAAAGGCTTCAAAGTGAAACGCGTCGATTTCAAATTTGAATATACAGATCGATAGGATATGAAAAAAAATTATTTTGACAAAAGGGCAGCGGCCCGTTTTCGGTCATAGTGGGAATAGACCCACCCCATTTCCAAAACTTCATCTGATCAAAAAATGATGTTGTTCAGAATGAAAAGAAATTTTTTTCGGGGCAGCCTCCCTCCCATTTTTTCCACACCTCATGGGGTTGGTGGGTCTCCTACCCAGAGATTACATTTTTTGGACCTGGAACCCAAAAATTCGGATTCTCCATACCCAAATTAGTGGGAATATGTATTTTTCCAACGGCCCACTGCACCGTCTCCCAGAAACTGAACTGGCAAGAATTGCTCCCCATCTGAGGATATTACAGAGTCCATTTTCTACCCCTTGGAGTGGAAATTTTGCATACAAATGTATGGCCAACTATACCTAATTTTTTTCGTACTATCTATTTGTGCTTTTGGTCACCCTCCCCGAGCTCGTATTTTGGAGTTCCCCATACAATTTCTGTAAATAGGCTCAAAGCCTCCCTAAATTCCCCGAACAAATTACATTTTTGGATTCCTCGTTAAAAATTACTTTTCGGTTCAGAACACTTCCCTTCGAAAAAAAATCAACGCTTATGCTCTAATTCAAGGCCGAAACACATCATATAAAAACCATAAGATGAATCTTTGTTAAGAGGGGGCCATATCTCCACTATGCCCCAAAATTGGCCGCTGCTCTTTTGTCAAAATTATTATTTTTTTTATATCCAATCGATCGGTATATTCGAATTTGAAATCGACGCGTTTCACTTTGAAACCTTTACAAGTAAATAATATTTACCCAAGCAATATTTTGAAGATCAGAGTTGGATAAATTAGGTATTTCAACACACACAAACAACAAAATGTTTCGAATTATACGCGAATTTTTGAAGGACATATGTTTTCGATAAAATGTCAACATCTGGAAGGAGAAGAAAAGTAGAAATTTAGAAAAATCCACGATTGTTTGTTTTTATATTTGAAATATATACCGTCAATAATTCTTTAAAATTGATTTGTGGGTCGAGATCTTTCAAATATGCTTTCATTTTTGCTTTGTGCATGGTCATAAGTTCTTTGGTTAGAAATCTATCTAAACTTTCAAAATACAGCGTGATGTAGTACAAATCCTGGAAATTGTCACAGTTTTTCAAATATTTGATCATATGTGAATTCGAATCCGCACAAAGTAAATATGGATACACTCTGTCATCATTTTGTTGAGAGAAAATGGCCAGGTTTGACAGCGATTTAAGGGGAAAATCATCTAGATCTGTAAAAGAAATTCATCATTGTTCCTTTTGTAAAACATTTTTTTCATTTTTTTTTATTATTCACCCTTTAGCATATTTGTGACTCGTATGATAAGTTCTCGGTTGATCGTATGATGTAACGGCACGTTCAAAAAATTTAATGCAACCAGTGTTGAAACTACATCGTCGGCTGTCATTTCTTTAATACTATCACAGAGATGTTCGAAGAAAGGATGACTAGTATTGTCTTCGGTCGGATTGCCCAATCGTCCACATTTTTTGGCCAATATCACCGAACTTATGATCGAACGATAATGAGGATCGGAATCTAACAAATCTTTCAACTGAAACTCATTTGATGCATCGAATGACGACCAAACGCTTTTCGTCGAAACGCTTACATTTTCAAGCAACTCATTTATACTATAGATATATTTCAGTTCTGTGCTGGATTGTTTCGCAATAGAAACAAATGGTCTCTGGCACATACAGATCCGAAGTCTCCCTGAATGCAATTTCAAAAGTCCGAATGTTAATAATTTCATTTTTGTATTTACATTTATAGGTTAAAATCTTGATACTGTATACTCAAAAGTCAAATCCTCAAAACTGTCAGAGAAGAGCGACAGCACAGCTGTAGTTATATTGTTTGAAGCTAGATGCATGACTGATGACCCTATTGGTAAAGATATTGGATTTGAAAATTTTCGTTAGACAAACCTCTCAACAAGTATTATCATCATATTTGCTTCTGATTTGAGTAAGCTGTTCATTTTTTTGCATCAAAGTTCTATTCGCATGAGAAGATAAAATTTTAGAATCAAACCATTCAACCTCACTCTTTGAGAGAATTATTAGAATTACCTGTGTGGAGGTAGAATTGGTATAATTATCATCAGCCGAAGTTCCGTTCTTTTCATTGTCCATTACCTTTTCTACATTCGACTTTCCACTTTTCATCTCAAATGCTTGGTTGTTCCATCAGAAACGAGATCTTATCAAAGTATATGAATGGTGAATTATGATGCTTGATACATTGGAGCTACCATTTGACTAATATCACAATCACCCTAGTACTCACCGTGCATAAAATAATGAATGAACTTCCCAACAGACTGAAAATGTCTTTAAAAAAATGTCAAAGTCGAGCTGAAAATCCGAAATGGGTCTCACTTCTCGCTATAGTATTTGAAATAGTTGAGGCAGCATGATATGAAGTGTGTACGATTTTTCATAGATTTAAAAACAAGTTCATGCAAAAATCATTGCAACACATTTTGCCGAAAAAAAAGAATGGTTTTTTGTGGTCACTTTTACATATACATATATTTCATACTGGCATTGTAGAATAGAATTATTTATAAAATGGACTTATGCGCTAAATCTTCAAATTGTTTTCCTTTCATTCTTTCCTTTGTGTCCATTCCATAGAAAAAATCAAGTGAATTCGTTTTTTATCTTTGTTAAATTTGGATTTTGTTTCATTTGCGTTTTTTTCATATCAACTTTTTTAGCCAACTATATATCAATGAAAAATTTATTTAAATATTTTTCGTTCTCTTGGCTCAAACATAAACCATCTTTTCTCCTGTCCTCTGATCTCTTTCATACCCTTTATCTCAATTCAACATAATTTTCATTTGTTTTGTTTAGCTACAAAGCACTGATTTGATTTGAATACACACTGCAAAATGTTTGAGTTTTCTTTTGTAAAAATGAGAGAATGAAAACTGATGTGCTTAGCGAAATGATAGCTACTTATGCAATGAATGGAAAAAAAAAGATTACGGATTAAATAAAATCGGTGGAGAACCATTTAGAAAATGGCAAACATGAACACTTTCTTGTTTTTGATTCACTTAACTTGACGCTGTTTAATTCGTAGATGATGGTCATAGCATGCGATGTCAAGAATTTTATTATTTTCTATTTGTAATTATTTGCTTCGTTTTGTTTTTTGGTTTTTGCTTTACTCGTATCGTTAGAAATATACTATAAAATGCTACGTATTGAATAGTTCGCGCACGAAAATTGCACATTCACATTTGAAAGGAAAAAAATTTAAATGGTTTGGTTCATGATGTGAAATTAGTATTTTGAGTATGTGAAAACGCCGTCTTTTGCCTGAGTACGTGAGTGAGCCTCCTATTTTTATGCTGAGTTGATGTTCTCTCTTATGCTGATTCAAAGTGCTCAGACTTTAATTAAAGTCCAAAGTCAAAAATTTTGTTAGTGGATATTTTTGAAATGTTTCGTTGGCATGAAAATTGTTGGGCCCAATAATGATGTTTTGCATCAAAACATCCGAAGGTTTCATTATTTTTTTGGATTTTTTTGAGATTTTCCGTTAAAGTCCGGACTTTGATATTTTTTTTTCTTTTTTTCGCGTTTTTGGGCGGCTTTATTGATAGAATGGAATGAATTAGGACAATTAATGATGATCTGGCGCAAAAGCCGTCAGTAATATACCTATTTTTTTGGATTTTTTTTCGATTTTTAAAATTTTTCACGACATTTTTTTTTCGTTTTTCCTGGCATTTTTCGCAAAATTTCAATGCGATTGAACATATTTGGGCATAAGAAGAGGTTATACATTGGAATTTTTCAATTTTTTCCGATTTTTTGTAATTTTTTTGCAAAATTTTTGAAGTCCTATAACTTCTCAACGACTCGGAGTAGAGCAATAGTGTCTGTGGCAACTTTTTAGTACTCCTCAAAACCTTTGCATACCATGTTCTAAAAGTACTAAAAATGTACTAAAATCTAGTAAATGTTGAAAACCGTAAAAATACCCAAAAGTAAAGGTTTTCCACAATTTAGTACTCCGGACTTTAACGGAAAATCTCAAAAAAATCCAAAAAAATAATGAAACCTTCGAATGTTTCGATGCAAAACATCATTATTGGGCCCAACAATTTTCATGCCAACGAAACATTTCAAAAATATCCACTAACAAAATTTTTGACTTTGGACTTTAATTAAAGTCTGAGCACTTTGAATCAGCATTAGTATTTCATATCTTAGTGCTTCAATTAGGCCGAATGCCCAACAAATTTGGTCGATTGCATCGAATGAAAACTAAGAAAATAGAGCATTCGGGTTTGAGTTATAATAATATATGCATACATACATATGTGTGGGGGAGGAGAAGCAAAAAGATTTGTTTAAAAGAAATCGCAATTGGGTTTTGTGGTTTTTTTTTCTTTTCTCTATATATTTCCATATCATATAAAAAAAGAGAGCTACAGACGTATTAAATGTATGTTGTTTTTACACTTAATCGATGAATTTGTCGGTACTGACAATTTTCCATTAATACTTCTAAAAATAGTACAAGTTGTTTTTTTTAGGTATTTTTGAGTTATTTCTTAATGCTTTAAAAAAATCGAAAAGAAAAAAATTACAAATGAAAAATTATAATAAAAATGAATGCAGGCGGTATACATTGACGAAAAAACATTGGTTTCATTTCTTCATATAAAGCGATATACAAATACAATTTAAATGCAAAAAACACTGCGTTTTTTTACTCAATTTATTTTTTTTCTTTCCTTGATGCTTTAAATTAATATTACACGGGTTTTACTAATTTAATATATATTCATAATAATTTCTTTGTGTCTCATTGTTCTATATTGTTTTGTAGCGATTTTTTTCTCTTTCGTTTTCATTGGATGTAAATTAGCTGTCCGTTTTGTTGTTGTTGTGTTTATCCTTTAAAAAAAATGTATAAAAAGGGAGAAAAAACATGATGGTGTAGAAAAATGATGTTCAATGCTTTGATTTCTCGTTATTGTTTTGCCGCTTGACTATGAGTGTGAATGATTTCGTGTAATGGTGAATAAAAATGATCGCGTTGGTAGCAGCTGTATTTATTATGCGCGTATTTGTTTGTTTTTGTTTATGTCTAACATTATCGATGGTTCTCGGTTGCTATATTATCCCTACTATTTGCTTCTAAATCGAGACAGAAAAAAAAATCGTCATAAAAAAATGTGGATTTTTTTTTCTTTCAGAGTGTTAATTTAAAGTTCGTACTTTATATGTAAATACGTATAATTCGTCACTTGCTTTTCTGAATGCTCCTCCTGTGTTGATGGTGTTTTTGGTTATGACTTTGTAATTTATATTTATTACGCCGCACTCTGTTCGGTTCTGATGTGTTTGTTTGTGTCTTGTCTGTGATGTTGCGTGATTTGTGCATAGTTGTGTGTGACAATTGTGTGTCGTTTTATTTGATAAAAGCGGTAAATCAATTTAGTTTAAAAATATTTTTTACTTCCGTTGAATGTGTGCGTATGGAATTTAATTTTTGGCGACCTTGACAAATGTGAAGCATTCGGATTCAAAGCACTTGAAACACGATTAAATGGCATACAATGTATGAACAAACTACTGACACAAACCCGTAGAAAATATAGCAAGTTGTTGTTGTCGACCGACGCGTCGATCAATTTCCTTAATCCGACTTGTGTGAGATGGGGGAATCGCGACGATGAAGAAGAACAATTTAAAAGCAAAAATTGAAAGCAAATAATCACACCCAAAATCGCATGAAGAAATTGTGCTGCGGTTCGCGGTTGTCATAATAATCATTTCATATGGAATTGTATATTCACTAAATGTCATGCAACGTACTTATTGCAAAAAAGAGATGTGTTTGTAGTATGTATATATGTTTGTTCGCTCTTTTCGTTTGATTCGCGTTTTAGTTTACTTGTTTATGATTTTTTTTATTTCGTATCTATTAAATGAGTATGAGTATAATATTTTTTTTTTTGTAATATCTTAATGTTGAGTCAAGCTTGCTTTTTTTTCTCTTCCATTTCATTTATGCCAAATATTCGGATTCGATTTCGTACATTGTTTGGTTTGTTCTCGTTTTTTTTTTGTTCGAGATGTCATTTTTTTCATTGTGTTTTTATTCTGTTTGTCGCGATTCACGTTTTGTGTGTGTGTGTTTGTGTGTGGTGTTTTACATACTAGAAAATGTAGCGATTTCATTTGAGTGTGTTTTTGTTTCGCACAAAAAATGGTATCTATAAAATTTGAGTAATTTCGTTTTTTTTTTCTTATTACTTTTGATGTTTTAGCTTTTTTTTTAGATAGTTTTAATGTAATCGGATGACGTTGTTACTGTTGTAAATTTCTATTTTTTTTTCTTGCTTGTTTATATTTTACTCGGTGTTTTTGTGTAAATATGTAATGCGCTTATTTAGCTTCTTCTTTTTCCTTGTTTTCCTCTATATTCTCCTTCTCCTTCTCTTCGACCTGTGATTTAAGAGAGAAAAACAATATGTCAGACAATTTAATTGGCAATTATTTCGAGGATAAATAGCAGTTAGTTGATTTTTTTTTTTGGCAAATTATACCTTATCTTTTTCTAGCTCTTTTTCAATTTGGTCCGATTCATTGTTTTCTTGTTCAGCTTTCTTTTCGGTTTCAGCTTCCTTGCCTTCTTTGATTTCCGGTCTAAACGATTTAAAGTTAAGAAAAATATTTCAAAATTTAAAAACATTCATTGTTTGATGTTCAGCCTGGAGTCCCCAGTTGAGTGTGCGATTACTTACTCCGGTTTCGGCAAATGAGCGTTCAAGTCGAGCTTAGAGCAGATTTCCTCCCAGTCGGGGAAGCATCGTTCCTTGATTCGTGACACATGACCGATCAAATTTGGGCAATGCTCAGTGATGTAGTCTCTGAGTGGGAAGTTGACTTCTTTCGAGATGAAAGTAAACTGTGACAAGACAGCAAACGAGACGACGTCCAACTGTTCATAAAGAGGGATACAAGTATTAGTTTAATAAATTGCTCAACAGCTATAAGCGAATTACGCATATATTTGGGTTTATACTTACATTGGTTGGTTCATCGCCGAAGTAGAATGGTTTGTCTGCTAGAATGTCGGACAAGACTTTCAGATCATGTTTGCCAAATTCTTCGATTTCCTCCGGTTTGTGCACACCAATTCCTTGTGCTTTCACTTTCTTACATCCCTGCAACCACTGAACATGAGACAACCATATCAAGAAATTACGTTACAAGGGGTGGTTGGCATACAACGCAAGAGAGAGAGAGAGAGAGCGAGAGAGAGAGAGAGAGAGTGAGAGTGAAAGAGAACGATAGCTCGAGAATCAGAGAGGGATGAGAAGCGTGGAAAACGCGAGGAATAATAAACGATTCACGATGGATAAAAAAGAAATCGATCGCCAATAGATATTTGATCGTGTTTTCACTTATGAGATTGTAATGTATATTGGTTTGTTCGCCACTTAATTTGATGGATAACAATGTACGCATTCCGGCCAAAGCCTTCAACTTAAAAAAAAAACATCAAAACGGGAGATGGCATTCGATTCCATCTTGATCAGAGCACGCATTTGAAACGTCTCGATCTTTGCGAACATAATGGTGATAATTGGAGATATGACAGCGCGCAATAACGAACGCATTTCAGCAACACATTGAGAGAATGAATTGAATTGCGAGCAAACGAACGGGCTGCGCACATGAATTGTTGTGTGATCACATCAATAATTTGTTGTCAGAAGATGCGAGAGTGCGCAAGGGCAATAATTCATTTAAGTTGAAATTTAATATGCAAACATAATAGTTGATTGTTTGCGGTCTTTAATTCTCACTCATATTCATACAATGATGTTTGCAAGTGATTGAGATTGATTAAGTCAAGACGACGACGACGACGGCGGCGGCAACAGTGGTAGAGAAGCAGAAACGAATGTATGTGAGCAAGACCATGCGCGCACAATATTTGAGGGTGCAGCGACTGAATGCTGATATATATTTAATAACATGTATTTGCTTATTCATTGACTGTGATTGCTCTCTCACAACAATAATAAAACATTCTAACTAAACTGCTGCATTTTGTATTTATGCAAATAGATTGCAGTTGCAGCCGCATTTCAGGGCATGCATGCGCACATGGCAAAGACAATACTGGTATTTTGGAACGTTGTGATAATTAAGACGAACAAAAAAAAAATTATATTTCATATGCAACATATATTTACTCGACGTATATTTATATACAGTATTGCTTGTAAAGATCTTCTCCTCCTCCTCTTCCTCTCATTCGGTTCGAGCATTGCAAGAGAAGTGATGCAAAAATTGTCTTTGGAATGTTCTAATAATATTCCAATTTGAATTGTATTTTGCTTCGGCAATGGAAAAGTGGGGTAAACAGTAAGCAATCGCGCACGAACTAAGCACGTCAGCAGAAAATATGTAATAATAATGAATTGATTCGTTCGACGATTTGACAGAAATAAAACGAGCCGTACTGTGCAGCCGAAATGTAAACAACAAAACGAACGCGAGAGGAAAGATAATCTCTTTTATGAAACATACAGCGCAACAACAACAACGTATATTGTTTATACGAACATTCTGCGCATTTCTCGATCCATTCAGTTGCGTGTCTTCCGATTTGGCCGCAGTAGAAGTATACAGTAAGCTCCAACTATATATTGCATATCAAAACAAGCAATGAAAAGAAATGAAGAGAAAAAATAGCATCGAACCGTTGACGACCAATTCGATAAATGCTGACCGTTTCACAAACAAACAAAAAATCGCACGCATAGACAAATTGAATAAAATTTGAGTTCGACGATGAAAAAAACCGATCGATTGGAATTCTTATGTTGTTCGTCTTTTAAAATCGATACTTGCAATTTTGTAGTCCGTGTATGAATGTGGAACGATTGCATCACTCATTTGTTTACCATCTCAGCGACCGAAAAAAAGACGCATGCTATTTTTGCATTGACGATTGCGACCTTAGATTCAGTCACGATCGCGAAACAAAACATTCCGATTTCAACTACTGGGATATTGACAATTTTTGGATGGTAAAAGTGATGGCAGGGGGTGAGGCGGGAGGGGAAATAGGGTATTGTAGTGGGTAAAGCGCGTTAAAAACATAATAGAGAGATTAAGCCAACAACCAAAAAATAGAACTAAAATACAACCTAAACCTATATATATATAACTTATGAGATTTGAATCAAGTACTTGACCAAATGTAATAAGAACTAAGCATGTATGGTAATTATGTTTTGGAATTGAATTTACCTTGCGTCCGTATGTAAAGCGGAAGAAGAAGTTCAAAATGCTGTTGGGCAGACGGCATCCAAGTGCATGTTGCAAGTTCACCTTGTAACCTTTGATGAGCAGATCCGGGTTCTTGATGCGCCAGTAGAACAAAATCCAGACCAAATGATTCTCAATCATCGATATGGTGGCATGAGCAATGTTACGTTGGTCTTGTGTGAGACCCGCATTCAAATCTTTGTCGAATTTTGCGCTCAATTCACGTAGGATGATGGCCGAATCGGCGATTTCTTCACCATTGAGTTCGATAAATGGTAACTGACCTTTCTTCGAGCGGAATTTCATCTTATGGTCGACATTCTGTTGTTGTTGTTGTTTTTGATTATGATGGCCGATGGGGCGCGCGCAAATGTAAAGGGAGACAGGAAAAAGAAAATCGAAAAATATTAGTTTTAAATGGAATTAATAAACAAATAACCAACATACCAATCAAATTAAAAAGAAATTGGTATTGATCAATTTTAAAAATGCTATTGAATGAACGATTACACGTTCACACAACAATAAAGAAAAAAAAAATAAACCACACATACACACGCCGAACATCAATCTAATATTTTCAGCGCATTTAATTAATCGATCAGGGTCGGTTCTCGTTCTCATGTAATGCTCAAATTACATATGAACAAAATGAACAGAGAAAAAACATAACTGAAAGACATACTGGCATCAACAGGAATTAAAGCGATGAATGGATGAATGAAATGATCATCACAATAAAAACATACGAAATTAATGAAAAAAAAACAATGCAGATGCTGAACTGAATGTGCTGGCTTGTTTGTGTGTTGCAACAAGATGTTATCACAAATTATGTGATATTTTTTTCTCTTCATTTTAATTAACGTATGTCTATATTTAAAACTTGATTAATATTTATTGCTCATTATTTCTGGTGATTGCGATTGCATTAGAAGAGCAGAACTTCAACGTGACGTGGGTTTTGGTTTCATTTGCAACTAATCGTACATATTTGTTTTTGTTTCATATTCAGTACAAGATCTACATTCCATCAATTGGACAGTTGTTTCGATCAACGGAATTTTCTCATTCAAAGACCATTTTGTTATATATAAAACGAAACCCTAATCAGGATTAGGCATTCGTACCAAACTGAACGAGTTGACTGAGTTGTGCGCACGCGATCAGTTCGCCTTATTTTTATACGGCGTCTCGGTCAGTATATCCAACAATTGTTGCATTCACGATAACATTGACACACAGTGGAATGTAAGATGTTAATTGCATTATTATGATTAGTGAGTTACATTCCGGACTAAAATTGAATTCAAACGACATACTAGATGAATATAATGCATATAAATTATAAATTATAAATTAATGGCTTTCAAATTTCAAGTGAAAAATAAAACAAATGTATACACAAATATGATTCGCGTTGTTTACTGAGTGAGAATAAGAATTCAGCGCTCGATTCATTCGACGCATATCAACGATCTGATCGAATGTGATACCAAATTTATCGCTTCCCCATATTGAAATTCTATTTATAGAAACAGAATGCCACAAACAATTCACCACATACCAAATATGCACTTCGACAAAACTATAATACAAATATTGTATATCAAGCATGCGACGAATGATACGCGATAAAAGTGAAGGAACGGCATGCACACAACAACAACAAAAATGTATAGAAGACACACATGAAATTAAAACGACTGTCCAGAATGAAAAAAATGTAAACAAGGCCTGCAGCGAAATGAAACAAAGCGAATCAAGAACGGAGCAGCAAAAACATCGTTTCGTCAAACCGGCAACAAATCGCCAGTTGAGAGAGAGAGAGAGAGAGAGAGAGAGAGAGAGAGAGAGAGAGAGAGAGAGAGAGAGA